TTCTATGTTTAAACTAAATAAATTTTGGCAAACGGAATGAAAAAACACACTAGCTGGATTTTAATTATCAATGTTCAAGTGTTTATAGTTAAGTGGACAACATCAGTGTATGGGCCACCTGTTGGATCCCAGTTATCAGTGACCAAGTATTGGCTGACAGGGTAAAACAACAAAGTGGTTGCTAGAAGAAACCCTGGAGGGGTGACTACCAGAAGTCAGTGGATATAAAATATGACTGACTAATTCTGCCCTGTTTGTCCCTCTTCTCCAACCAGGGCTCCATGTTACTGGAGGAGGCTACCAACAGCTCCTCTCACAGCTCTCAGAATGGCACCACACAAGAACCTGTCCCTCCACCACCTCCGCCACCTCCTCCCCCAAGCAACCCGACGCCAACACCCCCTCCACCTCCTCCGTTGCCCCAGGAGATGCCAAGCACTCAGAATAATGCTAGCACCACTCCAACCAACAACAACAACCAGCGACGCCCATCTTCCTCATCAGGAAGTGAGTGTTCCTTGATGATTTTTCCCCTCGATTTCTATCCCCTTTTTGTTTCTACTGTTGTCTGGCACTAAACATTTGTTAATGGTTCTTATAAAATAAATGCATGCATGTTTTTCTGGTGAAATGGTTGCTTATGCACATTACTGTGCAGTTATTAGAAAGCAGACTTCCTAGTATCATGGCCACAATTTCATCTCAATGGGCAAAAAGAGTTGGTTGACCCTAGCTTTTTAAATAACAGGTTATAAATTAATGATGTTGAGCTACAATTACCATGAGAACTAATTTAGTGTTCAGTTATTTCCTTAAGTGCCCTGCTACTCTCTGACAGTGGACATGTTCCCCTACTTACAGGGAAATTATAACTGTCAGTAAGCCACTGTTTGTCTATTGTTTTTCTGTTTGTTTGTTTTCCCCCTTTATGCTTCCTGTGGTCTATCCTCACTGCTGCTTTATCAAGGCGGGGATATTTCAGAGGGAGGGGCACTAGGACAAATGAAGTGTACAGACTGCAAACCAGTCTTAACTAAATCAGTTCACTGTGTCACACATTACAGTAGGCTCACTACAGGCTTTCACATCATTGGCTTTTATTTATGATAGGCTTTTAAAATTGTCGTCGAGTTTTCTATATAAATACTTCACCACTGTTGCCAACTTATATCACACAGTGATTCCTGTGGTGCGTCCAGCTAAACAATGTCTAAAAATCCTTTTTGGAGGATTAAAAGCCCCATTGATTTCATAGACAGGCAGACAAAAGAGCAACGCGTACAGAAAGCATCTGTGTCACTCACAAGTTGACAAATCAGGAAGGTTCACTGCAAATTAAAACACGACCACAGTAACAAATGTCAGAGTCAGAAAGATAAGCAACTCTTCTCTATTCTCAAAACACTGGCTGAGCTGAACCCTGTTTATTTTTCTTACTTTTTTTGCAGTAGTAAAATACTGACCATCACAGTAGAAATGTTCAATTAATTTGAAGTAATCAATAATTAATGGTTTTATTCTCTCAAATTTCCATCCATTTTACAACAAGCTGAATACATTTCAGTACAGTGAATATTAACCAAGGGGAAAAAACCTGTTTTGGTTTGAGAATATACTCTAGAATAATTTTTTAGACAAAGGTATTTTCATTGTACCGAACTATTTTTCTTATAATCAGTGCAACAGCCACATAGGTAGTGCTGAGTATCAAACACTTTTATGGCATAGATCAAATTACTTTACAATACCAGAGTACTGAAAAATGTTGAGTATCAAAAATGCTTTTCTACATTTTTATTTATTGATGGTAATGGTAACGGAAGTTAAGGTTGTTTTAAATAGGTTGACTGTGTTATGAAACAGCTTTGAGTGCAGGAAATGAAAAATAAAACTAATTATCTGTACCAAAGTGTGTACGGCTGTAAGTATGAATATTTTCTTTGTTAAAACTGATTTTATAAAATTGGTATTGGAAAAAATATCATTTAGAAACTGATATCGAAGTCAAAGTATTAGTACCAGGGATGATACCCAGCCCTACACACAGGGTGTGAATAATAAAAGGGAAATGCTAGTTTAGGGCAGAATTTTTAGTGAAAGCCTGTTTGTCATGGAGATGGTATGTGAGACAGGTTATCTCAAACAGAGGTTTAAGTGAAGGATCAATTACAGTATAATATAGCGTCAACACATTTAAGCACATTTGAACACATTTAAGCACATTTGTATATTCTATGCATTTTACTTTGTGCAATTGTCTCATCTGTTTATACTCAGCCTTTGCGTAATTGCAGAATATCAATAAAACACTCAGAGATAAAGAAGCTAGTATTTGCTCACTAATGGCATAATCAGTGCTAATGCATTAATGAAGCAGTAAACAGGCAGTTAGGAGGTCATAAAATTAAAATCTACCAACACATCCGAGAGCTCCACATGAATTTACAGCTCAAATCATTGTTGAGAGGATGGAAACAAACCAGGTGGCTGGCTGAAAATGCCGCTCAACACTGTAGGTGGTTACATCTTCTCTACTGTTTTCTATTGATCTTTATCTCAAGCTCTAAGGAGCATATGTATTTATTAATGATATCATTTGCTGTACAGAATTAATTGGGTAATGGTCAGGCAATTAGGCAGCCCTGAAATTAAAAGCCACCAACGTATCTGGGAGCTCCAGATGACTTTACAACTCGGACATGGTTTGAAACGACAGCAGCAAACCAGATTGATGACTGAACATGCTGCCAAAGCACTGTAAATGGCTGGAGGTTCTCCATAGTTTAGTACTGCTTACCTGAATGAAGAGGATCCAACTTTTTATATTACAGGAAATGTAGAGGACGCATTTCTGTCCGAAGTGCAATGTGACGGAGCAGCTGTTAACAGATGTAGCGGTGTGATCGCTCTTTAAGTTCTAAACCAGAAGCAGCAAACTCTGTGTTGTGATTTCCACAATGGAAGGCTATTTGTCAAATATTCTGTACCTGTCACAGCTCTACGCACCTTTACAGACCTGCTGAGTCAACGCCCTAAGCCTAATCAGAATTTAACCTATACACACACATAACCTTTGACTCAGAAATGCACAGTTTCAAAGGTGCATGCAAGCGCAATGAAGATTTATTCCACAATATAATCTGGGGGTGTCTACAACCAGTCTCTCTTCCTCTTTATGTAACCCAGCAAATGACCTGTATGTAGGTCATGAATGTGTGTATGAGTCAACTGTGTGCCAGGTTTACTGCGGACAGGCTTGGTCTGGTAGGATGGACTAACACAGTGGGGATTGAACAGTGACTGTGCGAGTGTGTGTGTGTGGGTATGTTAATTCCTGGCCAGCTTGCCAATGGCTCGCTGTCACTTCCAGTTACTGGTGATTCCTTTAGATTTCCCCCAACTGTGATGATGGGTCTTTAACAGAAAGCTGCTCTCTCGTCCCTGAGAGAGTGAGAAACAGACAGAGAGAGCAAGGCAGAGTAAGGAGGGGTGGTAGGCTAGTGAAGCTGTGTGTCCCCACTGTGGTCACCTCAACAGGGATCTTTTTCATGGGAGACATCAATTCCATTCCAAGTCAAAATTGAGCTATCGATGAGGGGCTGATGAGCTTCAGTTCACTGGAGGTTTGCATTCACTAAGACAGGTGAGGTAGCTGTTGACATTTTGGTGTGTTTAGGCCATAATATGTGAACTTCAGAATCCTAAAATTAATGTGCAGCTGGTTATACATCCATTATAAAGTTTCATTTGACTGTTTTACATTAACATCCTAAGTGAGGATTTCTGTAGCCTGCTACACAGCATACTGTAATACAGTGGAGTTTAACCTTTTAGGCGTGCGACCCAATGTTGGGATGTAATGATTTCACAATCCCCTGACCAGACCGTGACAGTGTAGGAATAGGAACACATATTATCACAGTCAGTAATTTAAATGTTTAATTTAACGAGGCTACATGCTTTTATGTTAAACTGGCTGAGGTCTGTGGCTCCACCCTGTCCTCTCTGCTGGAGACACACCTGCTCTGCTGCAGAGGAGCTGCTGGTCTCAGAATTCAACCCGTTTTCATAGAGCTCATTACACGTTGCCATTAACTACATAAAGTTAGCTTTTGTTTTCTTCCCATTCACAGAAGTTCACTACATCAATCAGCATAATGAGCACCATGTGGGTTTAGTGGGTGAACGGACCAGGCATTTTGACCACCGGGAGAGTGAAAACATCGCATTTCTGCAAGTTTGTTGTGTTCAGCTTGTTCAGCGGGGGTTTGATTAATTATTCTCTCCATTACTGTTGTTGGCGTCTGTGTTGGCTTTACTTTTATTGTCCTTACTTATCTTAACATATCCCCGAACCGCTGAAATTTCTTTTCTGTTACATAACAACCGGCTCAGCCAGCATAAAGCTAATGTAATGCTGCCATTAATTGGTATTGGTGGGACAACTTTTACGAGTACGAGTAGAGTACTAGAGGGTGGTATCGGACCTGATACCTGATACTGGTATCGGCATCTTTTTCAGTGTATCCCTTTCATTCTCTCCATTTCTCAATTCAGTCTTTCTACAAGGTTTCACTTTTCTGCTCCATCCTTTTGTCTGCAGGCACAAAGTCATTCAACATGATGTCCCCCACTGGCGACAACTCAGAGCTGCTGGCAGAGATCAAAGCAGGGAAGAGCCTCAAGCCCACCCCTCACAGTAAAGGCTACACCACTGTCTATTCCAACAGTGGACCCGCAGGCAACAGTGTAGGTTCACATACTTCTGATGATACATTTATGTAACAGTCACTGACAAATAGAGAACTGCCCATTTTAGCCACAGCTTTTGCCATTACTTTTGTATTTGATGTCACTGTCCCAATTTTAAATCAATTACATGTAAATGCAAACACATGCTGACATGATCTGCAAAAGGAATCATCAAATAGTAATGATGTATCCAACATGCCTGTGAGGCTACGCCATATTGTGGTCCATCAGTGAACCCCTCAGTACAGTTTTCTTCATGATCACTTCAGTGCATTACACCACCTTCAAAGAAAAAGCAGGTTGAAATAATCAGATTTGTCCTGTTTTTGATATATAATGCCTTATCACATTGTTCCTAACTGGTGTGTTATTTAGAGAATTATTAAGATAATATCCATCCATCCATCCATTTTCCTCCGCTTATCCGGAACCGGGTTGCGGGGGCAGCAGTCTAAGCAAAGATGCCCAGACTTCCCTCTCCAGACACTTCCTCCAGCTCCTCCGGGGGAATTTCATTATTAATTTTTGGAATATATACTGTAAAAAAAGCGGGCTTCTCTTTTCACATTTACAGAGTACACATTAGCAGAGTACTAAATGGAAATACAAGGCTTTTTGCATTAAGAAAACATATGCTTGATATCCTGCTTTCCAGAAGATAAGAGACTGTTGAATAAGGTTGTGCACAGAATAACAAACATTATTTCATCAGTGGAAGAAAACTGATAAAGCAAGATTACAAAATAAAGGGTTTAAGATTTTGAAAGATCCCTCTCATGCAGCTCAAGGCCTTTTTAACTTCCTCCCCTCTCACAAGAGGCTTAGATATTCTAAAACACAAACAGCCAGATTTCAGAGTAGCACATGTCCAGCTGCTGAATACTGTTGACTTTGCACTGCATGCTGCTCACTAGGGTTTCATGGAAGGTCATCTGGAGATGAAGCGTTATTATGTATTTTGGATTTCCTGGGGGCAATAGTTTTATTGTTTTTATTATATTAATTGCTTTTAAAAATGATGTTTTTTAATCATTTTGATTCTTTCAATTGTTGTTATCTTGAGGGAGTGTATTATTGTTGGTATTGTGAACCCACCAAGACTAATGCCAATAAGCAGTGTTGATATGGCAATAGAATACTAAAACTTGAAACAGATTGAGATGGAAAGAGAAAGTGCTCAACTGCAAGGGCCAAGGTAACAACCTCTGCCCCTGCTCTGTGGACTCAAGGGTCTTTGGACCTAAAGCTGCATGTGAAGTCTTATTTTCTGTTGCCTGTAGTCTTTACACTGGCTTCATGCTGGCAGATAGATCCATTTAATGGGAAGAAAGGCTGTGTGTGTATGTCTGTGTGGGGGCATCTAAAATGCTTTGTACATTTACTATTGTTGCCCCCCTCTGAAGGGGATGATAATCAAACCATCTGTAGTGCTTCACTGCCCATGTTACCCTCCCACCTGATGAGTTATAAGGAACCATTTCTTTGACAGCAAAAAAAAAAAAAGGTAAATGATAATATTTTCCTGGAACTGAATTAAAGCTCTGTTCTCTTATTCAAATAAAGCTGCTTTGGTCTCACGAGTGAGCTGATCTGGCAGCCAGTGCCAGTGCTACTAAGTGTCTATCTAACAGCGTGTTGTGCTACAAATGCCAAGTTCACTCCGAACCAACTTCATCTCATTCGTCACTATTTCTTAATTAAACTTCAATAGTTCTGTTTTTTTGTCAACCAAATACCTATGTTGACAACTATCATTATTGAATCATAATATCACTCTGATATTCACCGACTCCTTTTTCTTCTGTAGAAATGAATACAAGGTGAACTGTACATTACTGTACAAAATATATCAAGTCTAATTAATGTTTTGCATAGTGAACAGTGAATGCACTATTTCACTTCCTACAGCTTCTAATGAATCTAACCTTGTCATTTGTTGTCACTTTCACTTTAGGCTGTAAATAAGAATTAGATTTATTGCTAAGTAATCTGCTGATTTTTTTTTTTTTTTTTTTTGGTTTTTATAAAATACCAGTAAATAGCGAAAGCCCAAAGTAAACTTGCCATTTGCTTGTTTTGTCCAACAATCAGTCCAAATCCCAAACATATACAGTTTACTATTATGTAAGACAGATAATTTCAGTAAATCCCCATATTTACAAAGTTTTGATTAACTGAGCATCAAAACAGTTGACAATTTGATCCACTTATCAACTGATCAACTAACCATTTCAGCTCTAAATTCAAACATTCAAAAGGTGCTAAATATAAATGTATTATTCTGTCACAGACTCTTTCCTGTCTGAATGGGCTGAACGTTCATTTATCATTTCTGGGTTAAATGAGCAAAATAGAAATGTATTCAAAAAAATATATAACCATGCAGATTAAAGGTAATGAGTATGTTAAACCAAAGCAATTTAAGGCCATTTTTATTTATCACTTTTTTTTCCTTAAGCTACTTGGTCCTGGAGTAAACCACGAAAACCTGATACGTGTGGATTCAAACAGGAAGTCAAGGAGCTTCAGCAAGAAACCTAGCACTGGGGACTACTATAAGACCCTGGGCACTGACACGGCTGAGCGCCACGGGAGCAGAAGCATGGCACCTAATGAAGAGGTGAGACGGATCTCAGGTTTATCTGATATTTCAGAAATCTATCCCAAAAAATCTTTCTACAGCCTTCCCTTACAAAACTGTACCAAACCAAAATTGCACCATTTTTAAAAAGTTATGACTTAGATCCACTGAGAAATAATCTCTCAAGCACCTATGTGAGTGACAGGACATGAACAATTATTTACAGAGATTGCTCTTCAAATCTGATGGATCTAATAATGGCACACTGGCCACTGTGGCCATGTAACTCTGACAGCTATACAGGGCATCATGGCCAGATGCCAGGGCAATGGCAGTCATGAAATGTATACCCTACATAAAACGAAAGTTGACGACATTAAAAAAACATTCCCATTCATTCCCAGCTCTGACTTCTGAGCTCCCAGGTAAATAGAACACAGCATAAGTCTGATGATAGCACTAGTAGATTATGTACAGTGATGTTTCTGTTGCCCATATAGTCCGTTTCACAGCACCAGAGGGCAAATATTTCAATCAACAGGTATTTAAGTTGTACCAAAATGAGGCACCAAAGTCTGCATTGTGCATCAGTCTGGTAGATACCGACTGTATAGGAACCGGTGCCATCGGCACCAGTTTTCTGTACCAAAAGTAAAAGTACTCATTATGCAGAATAGCATATTTCATATTAATGTCATATTACTGGATTACAATTATTGACACAATATTGTGTACATCACATTTAATGTTGCAGCTGGTAAAGGTGGAGCAAATTTTAATTACCTTATAAGCTTATAATTTGAAGTACGCCAGGGCATTTTGTGAGTTTGCAACCGTCAATAAAGTTAGATGATTATGTTTTATTTTGTATAGTTATTCTGATTCTGAAAAGGAACTAGCACTAAATTGATCAAATAAATGTAGTGAAGTAAAAAGTACAATATATGCCTCTAAAATATAGTGAAGTCAAAGTGAAGTCAAGTAAAAGAAATAGTCTAAGTACAGATACCTCAAAATTCTACTTAAATACAATACTTGAGTAAATGTACTTAGTTACTTTCCACCTCTGTACAATCTTATAATAACAGATTGAGTGTTATAACACAGAAGAGTTGCTTTAGAAGAACAACTACTTAGTTACTTTCTAACATTGGTAACTAATGTATGCTAGCATAGCGTAGTAAAGGGTTAATATACTGTGACCTTGTTATACTGTTTATGGTTGTGTGGGCATCTCAGCTCCTTATAAGGTGTTTTTCAGAATAAGGGTTGGTCAGATGATGGTGTGTTGGCATTAGGTTACCACCCTGACTGCACTATTTGCCTGTGCATTATGCCACTCCTTATGATAGGTAGCTTTGTGTCCGTTTGAGCTTTTGTTTTCCACCTGATGCAAAGTGCCCCCTCATTTCCATTGAGCCTCCTCCCTTTTGTGTAAACTAGGAACCTACAATGGGACAAACTCTGGACGCTCCCTGACATAAGAGCACCTAGCAGGAATTCAGCAAAGGCCAAATACCCTATAAAGAGAAGAATACCCTTAAATATTAACTTCAGGTTTTTCTGCCCAGTGATCTGTTGTAGCTACTAGCTTGTAATATTCTTGTAATTTGTTTCTTATTGTATTAAGGAATGCTTTTGGTCTTAAATGAGAAAGAGAGAAAGTTAAGTTACAACCATATCTCTAAAATCATATTAAACATAAATATGTAAAGCCTCAAGATGAAAGTGAATTTTCTTGCATTTTTGCACATGAACAAAACTATTTGTATATTGTCTGAAATTCTTAATATTTTATTGACACAGTGATTGAATGTGGTATTTCTATTAGTGAGTCAGGGTAGGCTGTAAGAATAGCACTGTACTTTCTCAAATTTTCGGTTGACATCCCTGTAATCTACCATTTTTACTACCCTCTTGCAGCCACATGCCTGCACAGGCAGCTGAATGATGACATAATATCCCAGGAGAGGGGTTGTTATAATCTCGTGGGTATCGGGGGTGGGGGTGTCCTAGGTGATATGGAGTATAATCCACATTGAGTCAATTAAGGCCTCAGTGGAGCCCCTCGTGGTCTCAGAGGCCCCCTAGCAGATGGACTGGCTAATCAGCAGAAGCAATGGCACGTGCCAACACCCATCTGGACTTGGCCCTCCCCTCAACTCTCTGGGGGGTATGAACAGAGAAGGGAGCAACAACAATGAGCACGCGTCTGAAGATAAAGGAGGGGCAGGGTCGCATTAAATGTCATGGTCCATTAACTAGCATCCAGCACTTATGGCACACTTTCAGAGTGTGTCAGACATGTGCGTGCTTGGGAGGGGGGCTGAAGCACTATCACTTGCGGTGACAGATGGCTGTGTTTTCCCTGACAGTTTCTCCCCAAGAGATTTGGTCATATTAGCTGTGTTAGTGATAGG